CCCGAGTCGTTTTTCGGGAGCCTTGAGACGGGGGTCAATGCAAACGGGGGTCAGCCAGAGCGCCCGATCTTGCTGGATCCCGCAGGGCTGGGGTCGCATTGACCCGGGTTTGGGTGCAGGATCCTGCAGGATCCTGCAGGATCCTTCGCATTGACCCGGGTTTGGGTGCGGGATCTTGCAGGAGCTTGCAGGATCCTGCAGGCCTGACTGATCCGGGTCTGGATTGACCCCGGTCAGAAGATCCCAGAGCTTTTGGACGCTCCCAAGACCGGGCGAGAGCCCCAGGAGGCCGAGAATGGCCCAGATCCCGCCGGCCCATTTTTCTTTTGCAGCGTCGGACCTCTGGGCACGTATGGCGCACCCGAGTCTCAGCTCTATAGGGGACCACATGCGAGCCCTACCCCCACCCCCCTCCGAGGCGGGAATTTATCCATAGCAAAGGCTCCCACGAGGGCGCGAAGTTGTTCGCGCTTCGCGCTTCGCGGTCCTCGTTCCTTCTCCCCCTCCTCCTCGTCCTCCTTTTCTCCCTTTGGGGGGGCGGCGCGAGGGCGCGAAGTTATTCGCGCTTCGCGCATCGCGGAGCGCGAAGCGCGAAGTTGGGAGCCCTAGCATAACCACCGCCTGGGGGGTCGATCTTCGCGGACCTCCACGAGCGAGGGGCATGGATATTTTCGGGCCAAAATATATCCATATCCACCGCCCGCCGGGGCACCAGGACGTCGGTTCCCAGGAAGTGGATATCGATAAACTCCCGCCTCGCCTCGCGCCCCCACGCTTTCTGAGGAGGAGGATGGGGTTCACTTCTTTCGGGAGCCTCCGAACGAAGTTAACCCCACCCTCCACCTCAGAAGTCGTGGGGGGCAGGGGTAGGGTGAAGTCGGGCACGTCTCTCTACAGGAGGTATATTTCAAAAACAGTGCAAAAATAGCCTAGGGATGACTTTCTCACAAATTTTTGATCATCTATGAATATTTGTCTGACAATGTTATTTTTTTCTGTAACATCTGCCTGTAGGGGGACATGCCCGACCTGAGGGTTGGGTTCGCATGTGTCAGGCGATCGCAGACATAGATCAAGGGGGCGTGGATTAGCGGCGGGTCCCGTTTCCATGGGAAATCGCGAATTTCTGCCGCCGAGCGAGGCGGCACCGGCCGCTTTTTGGGCAGGGCACCCCCCCCGATCCATGGATTTGGCGACCGCGCGCCAAATCCATGGATCGCCAATCCATGTTTGCGCGCCCCCGACCCTAGAGCTCGGACACGGGCCGCCAGCAGCAGCTATCGGGGGAGCCTGTGCAGACGCCGGCCAGGTGCGAGGCGCCCGTGGGGTGCGCCGCGCGTGCCAGGGCACCGCCGCGATCCCCGTCGTCCCGGGAAGGTCTCGGGGCGCGCACGCATGGTTCCCCAATCAGTGCTTGCTCGGACCGGGTCCTAGCGGAAGTTGACGGATTTGGCGAAAGCTTCCCGCCGATTTTGGTAGAAGGCCGGGTTCCCGGGTTCCCAGTTCCCGGGGTCCCAGGTTCCCGGTTATTGGTTCCGGGCCGATTTCGGTGGGTTCTGGGTTCCCGGGCTCCCAGGTTTCTGGTCGATCTCCTCAGCGAAAACCATCCACGTATTTTTCTTTTTGGTGAAATTTTAAGTCGGGCTTGTCCTCTACAGAACTATTCAAAAATAGTGACCAATAGTGTGGGGACGATTCTGTGAGTTTTTCTCCGTTTTTTTTGTTTGGCTTGACGATTTCCATTTTTCTTGGCCTCCTAGATGGGGTCGGGGTAGGTGGGGTCGGAGGATCGCGCCGCATCGCCGATGCATCGCCGATGTGGGGCCCGATTTGCTTCACGTCGACGTCGCCAATGCATCGCCGACGTCGCCAGTGCATGGCCGATGCATCGCCGATGCATTGGCGATGCATCGCCGATGCATCGGCGAGGCGGCTAGATCCGCTGACCCAATCTACTCGGACCCCATCCAGGAGGCCTCTAATTTTTCTCCCAGAATTCGCCTGTAGGGGGACATGCCCGACCTAAGCACGGTTCGAAGAAGAAAACAACCACACAAACATAAGCTTTTGGTGCTCCGCGCGGATTTCTTGGAGCCGCGCTGGGCCCCCCCTGGCGGCGCCTGCGGCGCCGCCCTTCGCGCGCTCCGCGCGGACCAGTGAAAGTTTATTTTTACAGTGGAAGCCCATGCCAAGAAACACCCTGCTTGCCTCCAGGGTGCCCTGGGTTTCTTGGGCTTCGATGCTTCTGCGATGGAAAGCGTGGCGTTCCCACACCAAAAATCGATGGACGTCCTGGGGTCTCAGGGTTGGGGTTCTTGTGGTTACGTCTTCGATCATGGACCCCCTGGTTAACGCGAAATATCTGGCTTTCACACCGATGACCGCCGAAAATCGTGTCGGGCCGCCGTCCAGACCGCCGAAGACCGCCGAAAGACCACCGGAAACCCCTCAAGATCGCCGAAAGGCTGCCGAAGACCGCCGAGAGACCGCCGAAGACCGCCGAAGGACCACCGAAGACCGCCGAAAGACCGCCGAAGACCGCCGGAGACCGCCGAAGACCGCCGAAAGACCGCCGAAGACCGCCGAAGACTGTGCCGTGCCCCACCGCCCGTGGCGGGGCGCGCGCCCGCTGGCGGCTTTCGGCGGTCTCTCAGCGGTCTTCCGAGGCAAGGGTGCGTGGCGAGGGGTCCATGATCGAACACGTAGTTGTGGAAGGTCTCTCGTGGTCGGGCCCCCACTGTGTCCAACATGTGGCCGCATCCGTTCGCCCTGCATGGCTTTTGGCGTGGCCGGCGGGCCTGCGCCCGCGGGGCCCGCGCTCCTGCCAGGGAACTGAGAAGTAAAGAAAGCGCTCGCGGGGCGCCCAGGCATGAGGTGCGTTTTGCCTCAGGTCGGGCGTGTCCCTCTGCAGGGGGAACATTCAAAACTAGTCAAAGGAGTAATCGGAGGGCGATTCTTTGATTATCTTTGACACTTTTGGGGCATTTTTGAGGTTGTCTTCAAAGTTTGCCTGTAGTTTGGCGCAAAGTGCAGGTTGTCTTGTGTTTTGACAGGCATGGCTGGGGAGGTGTCGGCATTGTCCCTGGTTTGTCGCCGGTCGAGTGGGGGAGGGGGAGGGGAACGAAGAATGACATAAACATACAAACTCGAAGGTCCGCGCGGATTTCTCGGATCCGCGCTGGAGCCTCCTGGCGGCGCCTCCGGCGCGCTCCGCGCGCCAGGGAGGCCAGGGAGGGAGTCCAGCCCGGATCCGAGAAATCCGCGCGGACTCTGAGTTTTTATGTTTATGTCATTCTTCGTTCCCCTGAGGGGGTGTTTATTCATGAGTAGCAGAGAGAAGCCTTTTCCCAGAGGGGAAGAATGGGATGGACGAGGAAGCGCGCTAGACCCCCTACGCCCACAGGGGCTGGTGGGAATAGGATGCTTGCTAGGCCTTTACTGTAAGAACCTCAGAGCGCACGTGCCCTCATACACGTTTTCGAGACACGGCAAACATTGAGCCGCTAGCGACATCACATTGATCGTGTGTTGCACGCTTCGCACGTTCTCCTTCAGCGCTGCATTGAAAGCTGGCTGTGCAAGCGCAACTCGATTAGCGTTTCGTTTCCTATCGCGCAGCATGTTACATGTTCCACATGATCGAGCGTCCCACTTTCTGCGTAGTCGTAGCCTTGTGTGCCAAACTTGTATTGTATCCAACTGCCTATACCACCATGCATTCAACCATTGTGGTTCGTACCACATGGGGAGGTACCTGCAATATAATATGCGGAAAGACGTACAATCAAATTGTAGCGTCCTTGCCACTCGATGCGCAAGGTGCCTTCTTGTGCTTGCGATCGCACATTTGCCCGTAAGGGCTTCGCCCTCTGCCGCCAACCCCGCCAAACATAATAGGAGATGCCAGAGCTATGCTGGAACGTTTCGATGCCGTTTGAAAACTTTTGGGAACATCATTCGAGGGCCATTGACATTCAGCATCACCTGGAGTGTTGGAGTTGTTGTTGATCGCTTGGGATTCTGTCCTCGGGGGGGCGAACCTGGTGTAATTCAACAGGGATTCTGGCTTCGGGAGCGTCGCATGATGTACAAGGGATTCTGGCTCCTGGAGCGCAAGTGTAGCGTAATGCGCCTGGAATTCTGGTCTCGGGGGCGCGAATATCGCGGAAATTGTGAAGGAGTTTGGCTTCGGGGGAGCGAATCTGGAGTAAGTTGCAATGGATTCCAGCTTCGGGAGCGCGAATCTATTATAATGTTCAGAGAATGATGGCTTCGGGAGCTGTAATCTGGCATGATTTGCAAAATGGACTCTGGTCCAGGGGCTCGACTCTGATGTGAATTACGAGGGATTCTGGCTTCGGGAGTGCGATCTTCTGAAGGATTCTGACCTCGGTAGCGCGAGTTTGGCGCAAGCAATTTACAAGGGTTTTTGGCCCAGGGGAATGTGAAGAATGGAGCAATTTCAATTACTTACAGTAGGGAGCGGAACACCGTATTGTAAAGTTGGAAGCTGGAAATTGGACCTGGAGCAGGTTACAGGAAACATCCGCGCAGCCTGGTGGCCTCCCAAGATTTCCGGCGGAGGGTTCTGTTGCTAGTTGGGGCTTGTATTCGTTTGCTTATCCGTTCAATCTTTTAACCTGCTACTACTTCCACGTAAAATTCATTTCGTTTTTCGCTCGCCGTTTCGGGGTTCGGCATTGACAGAAATCCACACGAAAATCCGCTGCAGCACGTCTGCCGTCTGCAAGGTCGGTGCAATGACGTTGTGTTCTTGTACGTGACACATTGTATACTCCCTCTGTACGTTGATCTATAGCGGCGTCCAGCTGGAATGGTAGTAGTCGTCCATGGTTTTAATTCCGCTTTCGACCCGCCGTCTCTGCTTTCTGGCTCGCGCGGCTCACTCATCTTGTCAAGGCGTGGTCTGACTTCTGCCGATGATATGCATGTTTCTCATGCGCCCTGCTCATTTGAGCCCTGCTGTTGGCTTCGCAAGTAAACCAATGCCATCATTCTCTCGTTTCCCTCATTTGCATCATGCACGGCAGCCCGAACTCTTTGCTTTCTTATCGTGTTCATGCCATCTTCCATATTACTTCGTTGCCCGTCCCCTTCCTCGTGCTTCCGTCCACCTTGCTCCTATCGATCGTCGAGTGCTCTGGCAGATTCTATTCGAGGATTCATCGAACTTAGCCGAGACGTGCAGACACCCGAGCCCTCCCAGCGCTGAATCGCCACTGGAGGGCTACGAGACAGACAGCAGTCTCGGACGGGAAGCGCGAGGGCCTGGGGCGGAGGGGGTCCAGGGCCCTCCATCCGCTTGCACGACTGCCAGCTGCCGCGAACACACACACATGCTGCCTCCTCATGCTGTCGAGCGGCTGCTGGCATTGACATAACGTTTGCGATGTCCAATCCCTTCGACGTCCATTCCCAGACCAGACCTGGAGCGCGTTTTGACCGGACTCCTGTCAGGATCCTGGCGATGGGGGCACGCCCCTTGGTGGTTTCGCTTTGGCGCTCCGCGTGGATTTCTTGGATCTGCGCTGGGTCCCCCCCCCCGCGGCGCCTCCAGCGCCGCCCCTGGCGCGCTCCGCGCGCCTGGGGGGGGGTCCAGCGCGACGGCGGCGGCGGAGGCGCCGACCTTCGGAGCCCTCCGACAACGACCACGGCGGCGGCGGCGACGACGACGTCCGGAGATCTCCTGGAGCACCACGGTACCACGCCACACACGCCACACCCACAGCACCACAACACACCCACAGAGGGGGGGACCCATCGTGGGGGGGGGGGAGGGGGGGGGGGCCGATGCCATCAGCATGGTGGGGGGGGCTGGACCTTGAGCATGTGTATGTTTTTTTTTCTTCTCCTTCATTTTCTAGAGTGATGGATGGGGTCCCAAGGACGAGGTGCCTCCAATCGTGTGAGTCCACCCTTGGGCCCGTGCCTGTCCTCAGGTCCCCATCCTTCAGGCCCTCCTCCTCCTCCGCCTCCTACTCCTCCTCCTCCTCCTCCTCCTCCTCCTCCTCCCTCCTCTCCTCCTCCTCCTCCTCCTCCTCCTCCTCCTCTCCTCCTCCTCCTCCTCCTCCTCCTCCTCCTCCTCCTCCTCCTCCTCCTCCTCCTCCTCCTCCTCCTCCTCCTCCTCCTCCTCCTCCTCCTCCTCCTCCTCCTCCTCTCCTCCTCCTCCTCCTCCTCCTCCTCCTCCTCCCCTCTCCTCCTCCTCCTCCTCCTCCTCCTCCCTCCTCCTCCTCCTCCTCCTCCTCCTCCTCCTCCTCCTCCTCCTCCTCCTCCTCCTCCTCCTCCGCCTCCTCCTCCTCCTCCTCCTCCTCCTCCTCCTCTCTCCATCTCCTCCTCCTCCTCCTCCCTCTCCTCCTCCTCCTCATCCACCCACTCCTCCTCCTCCTCCTCCTCCTCCTCCTCCTCCTCCTCCTCCTCCTCGTCTCCCTCGGGGCCCCCTCTTGGAGCCGCTTGTCCGAGCTGCGTCCAGCCGCGGCCGCGGTGGCGAGGAGGTCGGGGGCCTGGGGCCAGCACGGGCTGCCCAGCGCGCCAGACGCGGGCCGTCTTCGGGCCCAGGCCTCGAGCACGCCACCCCTGGGAGGAGGAGGAGGCGGAGGCGGAGGAGGAGGATGATGATGATGATGAGGAGGAGGAGGAGGAGGGGGAGGAGGAGGAGGAGGAGGAGGAGGAGGAGGAGGAGGAAGAGGAGGAGGAGGAGGAGGCCGAGGAGGAGGAGGAGGCGGAGGCGGAGGAGGAGTACCAGGTTAAGCCCAAGACGCATCAGCGCTGCTGCAGCGAACCCTCCCTCCAAGGTCCCTCTCTCATTTCGGAAGGTGGCCCATTAGGAGACAGCCGTCTGAGAATCATCAACCGTGCCAGAGCAGAATCCCTGTGATTTCGACGCCGCGGATCAACGTGACTGTTGCTTCCTGGCAATCTTGAACCATGTCAGAACATCTTTCCTGGGACACGAGCAACGCGAATCAACGTGACTGTCACGTCCTGAGGATCCTAGATCGTGCCAGAATGCCGTTCCTGGAACTTCCGCATCGCGAATCAACGTTACCGATGCGTCCCTGCAATCCTAGATCGTGTCAGGACACCGTTCCTTGGACTTCGATAGTACGAAGCCTTGAAACCGCTGTAAACTTTAGAGACGAATGTGCTCGGCGCGAAGGGGAGAGTCACATTTTGAAAAGGAGCCGCCCTCCATCAGCGAACTGGTTGTGGACGTGTAGGAACAATGTGCGCGGCGCTGAGGCGAGAACCGCATTTCGAAATCCACCCGCCATTCATCTGTGAAACTGTTGAGAGCTTTTGAGGCAGATGTGCGCGGCGCCGAGGCGAGGGCACCATTTTTAAGAAGGACCTGCCATCCGCCAGTGAGATTGCTGCAAAGCGGCGCTAAGGCGAGAGCCACATGTTGAAGTCCACCTGCCCTCCACCCTCGAATGCGATGCAAGCTTTCAGACCAACGTGCGCGGCGCTACGGCGAGAGCCACATTTTGAAAGGGCTCGCCCTCCATCCGTGAAGCTGTTGCAGATTCTTATGCTCAGGACCATGAAAGGCGAGGAGGTCTCAGGCGAAGCGCCAGACCTGCCCTACCGCCACGTCTGGGGGTGCTACAGTAAGGAGTGATATGTTAGGGAAAGGGATGAGGCAGGAGGCGGATGAGGAGGACCAGTGTAAGCCCAAGACACAGCAACGATGTTGCAACAAACCCTCCTTCCAAGTTCCCTACGTACCACTAAAACAAGTGATATCCAATGCGGGAAGTGGCCCATTAGAAGCCCACCGTCTCCCGCATCGTGCTAACACATTCTTCCTGCGCTTGAACGCCGCGGTTTAACGTGCTTGTTGCCTTCTGCAGCTTCAAACCGTGCCAGGACACCACTCCTGGGATTTCAGCATCACGAATCAATGTGGCTGTTGCGCCCTGCGCTCCTAGGACCTCAACCATACGCATCCTTGAAACCGTTGTGAACTTGAAAGACGAATGTGTGCGGCTCGAAGGCAAGAGCCTTATTTTGAAAACGGAGCCGCCCTGCATCTGTGACATTGTTGCAGGCCTGTGCAGACAGACGTGCGCGGCGCTAAGGCGAGAACCACATTTTGAACATCACCCACCCTCCATCCGTGAAGCTATGGCATATTCAAACTTTCAGGATCGTAAATGGCGAGGAAGTTGCAGGTGAAACGCCCAGCCCGCTCTACCGAAACGTGGGTCGGTCGTCGTGTCGTCCGGGTTGTGGTCGTCGTGGGTTAAGTGGCCGTGGTTCTGCCTGCTGTGGCGGTCGCGATCGTGGTCGTGGTCCTGGTCGTCGTGGTAGTGGTGGCGGTAGTCATGCTGGTAGGGTTCGTGGTGGTAGCGGTGGTGGGTGCAGTGGTGGCGACTATGGCAGTAGCTGCAGAGGTGCTCCTTCTCCCTCCTCCCTCCCTCCCTGCTCCCTCCTTCCTTCCTCCCTCCTTCCATCCTCCCTTCTCCCTTCCTCCTTCCTCTGTCCTCCCTCCTCTGTCCTCCCTCCTCTTTCCTCCCTCCTCTGTCCTCCCTCCCCCCCTCCTCCCTCCCTCCTCCCCCTCCAGTGCGCCGTGCTCAGTGCGCCACCCGCCTGGCCCCCAGTCCCCACACCCGTCGAGCACGCACCTTGCGAAGCCGCGCGTCGCATCGTCACCCCCCTCCCTCTGTCCTCCCTCTGTCCTCCCTCCTCTGTCCTCCCTTGTCCTCCTCCCCCCTCCTCCCTCTTCCTCCCTCCCTCCTCCCCTCCTCGCCTCCTCCTCCCTCCCTTGTCCTCCCCCCCCCCTCCTCCCTCCCTCCTTCCTCCCTCCCCCTCCCTCTTCCATCCTCTCCCCTCCTCTGTCTCCTCGCCCCTCCCCCCCCCTCTGCTGGGGCAAGCCGCGGGCGCGCACGGGCGTGGCACGCCCGGGAGGGGCCGCGGCGCCCGCTGCGCTGCGTGCCCAGCAGCACAGGGCTCACTTCGATTCCTCCAGTTCGATTCGATCCGATTTCGATGGATTCGAAATCGATTCAATTCGATTCGATTCGATTCCGATTCGATTCCTCCGATTCGATTCGATCCGATTCGATTCGATTAGATTCCTCGATGCATTCGATTCGATTCTGGTTCCGATTCCATTCGAAATCGGATTCCGATCCGGGATTCGATTTTTCAGTGGAGGCCTACTCGCCTGCCGATGCCCCCCAGTTCGTCTTTTCCCGACTCGGCTGCCGATTTCCGCCGATCCGATTAATTTAGATCGACGATTCGACTTATCGATTCGCCTCTGGGCTCTCCTGGCAGCAGGCACGCGGCAAGGCGCGGGATGGCGAGAGGACACCTCCTTCGAATATCGGTGGCGCGCCTGTGGGGGGGGGGGGGAAGTGAGAGGGGGCGGGCCTTCTCAGAAGGCTCGGAAGTCCCCACCGGCCTTCCGAGAGGTTCTCTAAGCCTCCCCGGAAGACGCAGAGAACCTCCTAGAAGGCGCGAGTGTTTCTGTGAAGTCCCGCCGCCTTTGAGAAGGCCTTCTCCTTCTCATTTCCCCCCCTGGCTTGCCGCCGAGAATAGGGCATCGACTAAAGATTTGATTTGCCCGAAAAGTGATGTCCGCCGAATGCATCAGAGATGCGTAGAGCTTTCGTGGACTTGCGCGCGCTATTAGCACTTGCTGTGGCTTCGACGTGGGAGCCAATCCTGGAATGCATCTCTTCTGTAGCCGGTCCCCTGCTCGACTCGTCCCCCTCCCCGTCCTCCGCTCGCTCCTCTTCGGCGTGCAGGCCGCGCCTGCTCCTCTTCGGCGGCGCCTCGCCCCTGGAAGCCCGCGAGCCGCCCTCCGCCGCCCGCGCTCCCCCGCCGCGCCGGGCGCAGGCCTGGCCTGCGACGCAGACGGCAGGCGCCAGCCGCTCCCCGCCCCCTCTCGCGGCGCTCCACGGGCCTCTCGCGCCGCCCGGTTTGTCCCGGCCTGGCATGACCTGGCCTGGCCGCCGCCGCCGCCACCGTCGTC